AGAGAGAGAGAGAGAGAGAGAGAGAGAGAGAGAGAGAGAGAGAGAGAGAGAGAGAGAGAGGGGTCAACATCGGCATGTACCTCAGTTGACTGTTGCGGACGTTGCTTCCATTAGTTGTGTGAGCGCAATTTGGGCGACGAGTCTCATTGATATACTTTGATTTTGGTTAAGGTAGATTATCATTTACAGTGTAATCAGTGAGGGGATTCTGCAGACTGTTGAGGGTTCAGCCTCCTGATGAGTCAGTGAAACTCCGACGAAACAGTTTGTCACAGCCCCTCGTGAGAGAGAAGAGGACAACAAACGAGGGGCTGTGACAAACTGTTTCGTCGGAGTTTCACCGACTCATCAGGAGGCTGAACCCATATATATATATATATAGGCTTCCTGAGCCGCCCGACCGGGCCGGCACAGCTGTGCACCTGTGCAGCCTGCACGGTCGGGGGGCTGCACGGGTCACCCGTGCAAGGTATTTTTTTATTAAAAAAAAAAGAAAAAAAATGTGCTGATCAGGGCATGTTGCGTATGTAGAGAAGTCCCCGAATCTGCCTTTTCCACACATGTTGAGAAGTGGTGATGGCGTGGGGGATGCAGAGGACGGGAGGAGGGAGGAAGATGATGGCAGAAGAAAAGGACCAAATGGCGGGAGGGAGGTGAAGGGTGGTGCGCTAGACGTGCGAAATGGCGAAAGGGGAAGTGGGAGGTAGCGGAAAATAGGTGGGAGATGGCAGGATGGAGGTGGTAAATAGCGGGAGGGGAGTGCAAGGTGGAGGGAGGGAGGTGGGAGAAGGCGGGATGGAGGTTCGATATGGCGGAGGGAAGTAGGAGGAAGACGACGGAAAAGAGGTGGAAGATGGCGGACAGCAGGAACAAAGTGGCGGGAGGGAGGTGGAGGATGGAGCGGTGGGAGAGAGGTGGAGGATGTGGAAGCGAAGAGGGAGATGGCGGCATTGGAAGTAAGAGGTTGTGGGAGGGAGAAAGGAGATGGCGGGAGGGGAAGGGGGTGGGAGCGGCAGGGAGAGTAGGAGGGAGCGTGAGGGACAAGGGAGATCGCAGGAGAGGAAAAAGAAGGTAAACGACAAAGGAGGAGAAAAAAAAGACGACAAAGCAGAGAAAAACTTTGCATTTTTTTTCTTCTGAACACCTCGCACGGGGCCCGTACGGGGGACCCGCACGGCTGTGCGGCCGTGCAAGGATCCGTGCATGCCAGGGACACCCATGCGCACGGAAATGAAGCCTATCTATCTATCTATCTATATATATATATCATATATGTTTTAACCAACTACCTCCGAAGATATTTTAACAAACCAAACACTATTTTGCTGCACCTTGGCTACCATCCGGATAGTTTGTCATCCCTGCAATATGAGTAGCTGAAGCATGGCAATATTGGTTGCACAAGTACGTTGCAATTTCCGGTGCACAATAAAGAGGAAGGTGTAGTACACCCGATATATTGAAACGTTTCCTCAGGGAAAAGGGGCACAAATAAAGCCTCGCCCCACCGGTTACCAAATGTGCACAATGAGAATAAATATCCTGCTAACGAACACGAAGATGCACCACTATAT